TTAGACAACATATTTCATTTGTTCTCAACTGCAAACTGCAACATTCACCTTATAAACACCACTTTGCCGGTCTTTTAATGTAGTTTATAGACGAACTCAGTCCGGAATTTTAGTTTCTGGTTCAGTGAACAAAAAACTTGAAAATTTCTCTCAAATCCGCCTAAAATAATCTAATTTCAGGGCGTTTATGAGTTGGAACTCAGATTTTATAACTACAATGAAGGAGCCACAAATCACGAAGAGATTTCTTGCGTTGTGGCGCAAACGAAAGTTGTCTGAAATCGCATCGTTGCGGCTCAAACATTACGCTGTTGATCATCTTACGATTGATCCTATCATTTGTAGAACACAATTCAGCCTCGATTTAGATTTAGAAAAGCTCTACTTAGCCCTGCCGAGGAATCCAAAAAAAAAATCACCGTGAATAATTTTTCCGCATTTCTTCCATCAAAATCAAAAAATCTCGATAATCCGTTGCTTGATTCGGAAAGAGAAACTGCTTTTCTTCCATTGTACTAATAAAAAGTAAACTAATTGAATTCCGTGATTCCGCATTGATCTCATCTTATCAAAACCACTATAATGACAATAATAATAACACAAACACGAAGACTGTATGTACTGAGAACTTTTATCGGCAATAAGAAAACAAATGAACAAAGAGAATCGAGCAAAGAATTAACGATAAACGATTAAAACAAACAAAGAATGTTTCACATTCAGTCAAATATCGCTAGTCATCACATAAAAACCAAACTAAAACTGACAACGAAACACAACAATCTTAAATTGTTCACTCAAAAAATTTACGTGCCAAAGAGAAGAATCAATGAAACAACATTATAATACGAACCAAGTCATTGTCAATTTCATTATTAGTCAACGAAAAACGTTTCACCATCCGCAATCTATCAAACATGTCAAAATCCATCAAATCAAATTGACCGATTCATTCACTGCTCCAATATGCATCAGAATTCTCCACTTCACTTCAAGTATCAATCCTTCTTGAGTGGTGCCCTGCAATTTGATCATGACAATCATCATATCACCTTAGCAACATTACAATGCCTACGGCCTTAATAACAGCAACAATGATGATATCAATACTGCTTACAGTCATAATAAAAATAATAACATAACGTCAACAGTGACAATGCAAACGAAACTGACCCTGTATCACGACCAGATCCACTCAGGATGATATACGGTGATTGCAGACTTTCCTGTTTCTTCAACTGCTTCTGAAGAGTACCCAACGGTGTATCCATTGAATTCATTTTCTTCATTAATTCCTTCTTCTCCATTTTCGCTTGACGTCTTTCAATTTGTCGTTTGCCTGGACCCTTACCATGGAACCTTAAAATACGCATTCATCTCATTATAATAAAACTTATCCATTCCATGCTCAATCAGTTCATCAAAAAACCCCGAATTTTCAGCTAAAATTCTTAGTTTCGTGCTATTC